GGAGGCCCAAAGGGGAGCTCTTTGGGGAGAGCAAGGAAGATGAGGCAGACACAGTTGGCAGAGGGCACCAGAAGGAAGGCCTCGCCCGCTCGCAGGTCGAAGTCTCTCTCCCGTAATTAAACACTTTCTCAGCTAATTGGCTTTGGCAATTTAAAAAAGACTGGATTCAATTTCCACCCCTTTAAAACGCAATCTAGACGGTTTATGAAAAGAAACTAAATATACTGCAGCTTGAATAAGCTTTCTCTTGCCGCCGCCCTCCTTAACAGCTCTTGGCGAGGTAAAAATATGCTTAAATCAAAAGAAACTCTGTCCTTAGTAAGATGAGGGTTGTCACGATGAACTCAGTGGCTCCTTAGTCACAGCAAAGGACAAACGAAGGCCGTCTTCCACCTGTTGGATGTCCTCCCAGACGAGGACATGCAACATGCTAAATTAAAAGGAAGACAAATCAAGCCACCAGAGAGGTCCTCAGGCCCAGGGCGGCCCCCTGCCGAGAAGCACGTAGGCAAAGGGGAGCAGAAAAGAATCACTGGAAAAGGCAGTCCTCTTAGAGCTCTGGACTCCAGGGGTGTGCACACCCCACACACACACATACACAATACACAACATACCCCCCAAACACCACACACATTCCATACACATCACACGTACACCATACACACACACACACATACCATACAGAACCACACCACACATACACCATACACCCCACCACACATATAACACACTCACACACCACATATTCACATATACCATAAACTCCACACATACACACATCACACACACATACACACACAAGTCTCAGTCTGTGATTGGGATGAAGGGAGATGGTGATTGATTACTCACACACACACTCACACACACACACACATACATACACACCCAAACACACACATACACGCCCACACACACACACATACACACACACACACACACACACACACACACACACACTAAGCTAGGGAGGGAAAAGTCGCAGTGTGTGGTTGGGGTGAAGGGAGACGGTGATTGATCATGACCAGATGGTGACAAATATGGCGCAAAGATTGAGAGAGAAGTTTCTAGAACAGTCAAAAGGAGCGTCAGAGAAAACAGGAGAGGCAGCAGCAGGCCCCAGATGAGGCTTCAAGAGGGACAACTGAGGTGGATTGTTGGGGGTGAGGAGTTTATTAAAAGAGTCATTAACACCATGAATAGTCACACACACACACACACATACACACGCATACACATGCACACACATACGCAGGCACACACACACACACACATACACAGGCACACACACACACATGCACACATATACACACACATACACAGGCACACAGTCACACACACATACACACTCACACACGTGCACGCAAACACACACACAGACACACACACACAGACACACACACACACACACACACACGCCTTCATGGCAAGAGCTCTGAGAGTTCAGGACCCAAGACAGAGACAGTGTGGGGGTCTCTGGAGGGAGGAGTCAGAGCCCACAGGGAGATGCGAGCATCTCTTAGCTCTCTGACGGTGGGGGATGGGTCACAGCACAAACCTGTGGCCTGGCTCTCTGACTCCCAGGCAGGCAGGAGGAAATGGAGGAGGGACAGGGTGTGGGGCCACCAACATGGGCTTTGATGTAAACTTACTCCCCAGGTGACAGATCCTGGCACCAGGAAGCCTGTTATCTGGGGACTTGCAATGGTGTGTGTGTGTGTGTGTGTGTGTGTGTGTGTGTGTGTGTGTGTGTGTAACAGGGTAAGGCTGCTGCACATACTGTGGTCTAGATTCTGGCAATTATATTCTTACAGGCAGAAGGCCCCAGCAGGAAAGGCCTGGGATGAGAATTCCCCATGGGCAGGATCTAACTTGTACAAACGAGAGTATGCTCACATGCTTACACCTAGCATTCACTGAGCACCCCCGCCCACAGCACACACACACACAGTTCCACAGAGACTTAACTGCCAACAGACACTGCTAGAGTTGCTAGGTCACGACCCTGGATCCTGGCAACCCTAACAAACTGGGCTCAGCCACCCATCCTCAGGAGGCCAATTAAAAAGACAGGGGGTGAACACCAGAGGGGGTGGGTTACTCAGTCTGGCCGCTCGGAGAAGAGGAACAAATAAGTTCTGCCACCAACATCGCCCCCAGTCCCTCTTCTGGTCGTGATGTGGAGGTTAGAATAGAAGGCAGGAGCTGTGTGAGCTCAGTGGTCCTGATGCAGACTTGCTTCTACACCCTGTCGGAGCCTCAGCTCCAGTCTCTCCCGGGAGGTGAGAAGTTATCAGAGCTGTGTGGTATCTCTTTCCAGGACACAAGTTACCCCCTCTGTATGGCACCAGGCTCCAGCCTTCTTCTCCCAGAATAATATCCCTGGGTAAATTCCAAGTCCCTGGGGCCCTTTGTCTCAATGGCCTCAATGGGAAGGACACAAGAGTCTCTTCACGATCATTTGGGTCCTATCAGGGCTGCTCTGTCACCTCGCATGCAAAATACAGGTGAATACACATGTCCACAAACATGGAGACAGCCAACCTACACAGTACCAAGCTCACACACATGGGACAGATCAGCATGCCCACACGTGTACACATGGAAGCCCTCCCTGCACAGGCAGGCAGCCACCTCACACGGAGGCACAGGCACGGACAGGGCTGTGGCTTGGCCGCTCGATATCCCCCGAGGGCCATCTGTTGAAGGTTTGGTCCCATGGCTGCATCACTGGGGCAGACATGAAACCTTCTGGGGGCTCCAGGGGGGAAATAGCTAAGTTCACAAGGGGCATGACTTGGAAAGGAAATTTGGCATTCCAACCGTTTGTCTCTTCCTGTATACGTGTGTGTACCCAGACACTGTGAAATGAGCAGGTCTCCTGGACCACACCCACCATGCCACCAGAGGCCCCGGGAGTACAGGGCCATGGGACCACAGACACAACCCACGAGCCAACACAAACCTTTTCCATGGTTAAGAGGGCTTACCTACCTCAGGTGCTGTGTTGCAGTATGGAAAGCTCATACAATCCGACCCACCCCGCGGCTCAAACACCAGCAGAGAGGCATGCCTCCTACAGTTCCAGACACAGGGTCTCACACCCACACACAACAGGCAGAGACACACCTTAGAAATGCACTCATGCACACACACGTACACAGAGACAGTGGAGTGGGAGATAGGAGGCATTGGTCTCCCTGTCAGTGTCCCGCTCTGGGCAAAGACTCCTAAGATGCAGGGCATAAGAGGCTGAGAGAGGCTGGGAAAGAGGTGGGGTCCAAGGAGAGAACAGTAAAGAAAGCAGGCTCTGGGTCGGCAGCAGCCAGTGTCTGCCGCAGTTAAAAAGATCCGGTTTTATTGCTGCTGCGTTTATTTTTACAGTTTGTCTTCTATTCCTGGAGAAGGCATCTGCTGTGTCATTTGGGGCACTAATGTGTACACACTTCCCTCTGGGAATGAATTTGGTTCACTTAAAAGTGGGATCTTATTTTTAAAGGATGACAACAGAGGTGCGGGTATAAAGATGGATGGAGGGCATAGCAGGTGGTGGAGCCAAACCAGCTTGTGTCGTCATAGGCACGCTGGGAGGGTGCGGGGAGATGTTCTCATGATGGGGAGATGTTCTCATGGTGGGGAGATGTTCTCATGGTGGGATGGGGAGATGTTCTCATGGTGGGGAGATGTTCTCATGATGGGAGATGTTCTCATGATGGGGAGATGTTCTCATGGTGGGGAGATGTTCTCATGGTGGGAGATGTTCTCATGATGGGGAGATGTTCTCATGGTGGGGAGATGTTCTCATGGTGGGAGATGTTCCCATGATGGGGAGATGTTCTCATGGTGGGGAGATGTTCTCATGGTGGGAGATGTTCTCATGATGGGGAGATGTTCTCATGGTGGGAGATGTTCTCATGATGGGAGATGTTCTCATGGTGGGGAGATGTTCTCATGATGGGGAGATGTTCTCATGGTGTGATGGGGAGATGTTCTCATGATTGGATGGAGAGATATTCTCATGATGGGGAAATGTTCTCATGGTAGGATGGGGAGATGTTCTCATGTTTGGCTGACAAGATGCTGCTGCAATTTCCTCAGGCTCCCTCAGCCTCTTCTTGAGCCACAGCAAAGAGACCTGAGTCCCAGCCAGGTATCACTGGAGAACCTTCCTTGTTACAATGTGAAAAGTTTCTGTACCCCAAAAAGCCTCTCCGCTGATGCAGCAATCAAATTCAGACAAAATCAAACCGAATTTAAAAAGCCCACGTTTTTTGGATACAACACTCCAGAATGGCCTTCCAGCCCCCCAGGGAGGAGATGGCAAAGACACTGGAAAACCCCATGTCTATTTTCTGGAGGGCAGTTTAAACACCCTGTGGGAGTGGTCTTGGGCATCTCTGGGGGAGGGGTCATCATTTGTCTGACTTTCTGAGATGCAGCAGGGTTTGGAGGGAGACAGGGGAGGTGGACTGGGGTGGAACTTCCTCCACAACATCCCAGACTCTTTGGGTAGATGGATGCCAGGGGCGGGTGGAGCTTACACCATAACATAGGAGAAGCTGTGTGACCAAGAAGCATGTGCAAATTTTTCAAATCATGTTTATGTGACCTCGGCTGTCACCTTGGGGTATTAAGAAGGGTCCACAGAAGCGTGATTGGGAAACCAGCCGTACAGAGGGGAAATTTGAACGCCATGCCCACTGTTATGCCAAGATGTCTGTGGACCCTCCCTTCATAATAAGAGTACTGGAGAAGAGAATTTATTTTAGACCTTACAAAGCTGTGTATCCAGCCTAGACACAGGGGTGTGGGGGGTGGAGAGATGCCTTGGTCCTGCCTCAACTAGATGATGGGTCAGACTTAGTAGACTTCCTAGGGGAGGCAGAAGGGGGGAGAGGGTGAGTGGAGGGTGTGGGGGGCGAGGACGGAGGGGGAACTTGGATTGGAATGTGAACAATAAATGAATAAATAAAAAGAAACGAAAAACAATGCTGGGCACCAACCTAGAGGGGCGGGTGGGCTGGCTGAACGAGCACGGGCAACGGTCAGTGTGGCCGCGATAGCTCTGATCCTCGTCAGTGTGGTCACAGGAGGGCTCGGTCTTCTACACACCACCTGGGACTCCTTCCCTCTGACGCTTAGTTCTCATCTTCTCAGCAAGGGCATGGGTGAGTCCGTCTCTACCTTGGTTTTAAGTTTCACCTGCCGAGTGGCCACACCGGTAGGTCGTGAGGCAAACTTGGCCGCTGGTAGTTTCTGCACTTGTGGTTTGTGGGTGAGAGGCAGGATTCTTTGCAGGGTCTGGGGAGGTGGGGGAGTTGCTGGGTTAGAGGACTCCCCCTGGCTCTGGTGTTTGAGTCTGCAGTGGACAGGGGCTCTTTGGAAAATGGACCATCAGAGTTGATTTCCTGCAGTTCCCTTTCCCTTGAGGGGGTGGCCAGCGGGGACTTCACTGTCCTTGCTCTGTGACCCATCAGAACCAGGGTAAGGTGTCAACTCTGCCCAGATGACTGGAACAGAATGACACCTTTGCAGCGCCTGTCCTCCGAGTGTCACTGTGCTGAAGCCCTGGTGTGGGGTGGGGGGAGATCTAAGGACAGACACTTGTGCCCCTCCCTTCAGTCATGAGACGATTCAAGCAAAGAGGCTAAAACAGTGCAACCTGAAGAGTGAAAACTCATGCTGTGGAGAGGAAAACCCCAGCGTAGCCGGAGGAGGAACCTGTCAAGCAGGAGACTGCACCCGGCTCTGCTGGCACACCTCACAGGTACATTGGCGCATTCCCCCTCCTGGCTTTCATTTAGTCTTTTGTATAAAATTGTCACCTCCATAAAAGAGCCAAGAGAAACTAAACTAAATATATTTTTCCCATCGTGCCAAACTGTAAGTAAATTCAGTACCGTTTACCAATTTGCGTTTCTTAATTTGTTTTAAAATAGAGAGAAGCTGGGGCTGGAGAGAAGGAAGGCTCGGCAGCTAAGAGCACTTGTTGCTCAACAGGGGCTCGATCTCCAGCACCCACACGGTGGCTCACAACTGTCTGGCACCCTCCTCCAACCTCTGCACACACCAGGCATGTACCCAGCACACACACACACCTCTGCACGCAGGAAAAACACTCATAAAATAAATAAATCTAAAAAAAAATAAGATTACTACAGAGAAACTAAGACAATGTTCGTAAGTGGTAACAACGGAAGAGGCTGTTACCCCTCCCAGGGAAGAGCAAACCTGGAAGTGAACCCCCAAAGCGTGGGGTGCCTTTGAAGCAAGCAAAGCCATCAGTTGCCGATGGCGTCTCTCCTGTACCCTTATTGCTACCACAATCTTAGTCTGGACTCCCCTTGGCTGCCCAGTCCTTGTGAGCTCTGTTGGAAGAATTCTAAGGAGACACACAGTGTACAGGAGAAGATGGGCAGTGTATCACAGAGTGACCAACGGTCAGAGGGGCCATCCTACTGGGCCACACAGAAGACAGGCTTTATATTACCTGTCTTAATCTTTCTTTTGTATTTATTTCTTTAGTGGATTGTGCTGGAGGAGACAGAGAAAGAGCATCTGAGTATGCAAGTGATTCCTGTATGGAGTTTGTGTGTAGTGCATGCAGACATCTATGAAGGCCAAAGGACGATGTTAATATCCTTCTCGGCTCTCTCCACCTCAGTTTTTTGAGGCAGGGTCTCTCACTGAACTTGAGCTTGCTATCTTGTTTAGACTGTCTGATTATAGGCACACATGGCCATTGCCAGCTGGGGGGTTGAATGCAGGCCCTCTTGCTTGTATAGCAAACACTCTTACCCAGTGACCCATCTCCCCAGTCCCCAAGGCTTTATTAAACCGTTTCTAAAGTCTTCAGAGCAAGCACTTTGTCCTGTCTTGGTGATTGACAGCTCTGTGCTGTCTAGGTGATTGACAGCTCTGTCCTGTCTAGGTGAGTGACAGCTCTGCCTGTCTGGGTGATTGACATGCTCTGTCCTGTCTAGGTGATTGACAGCTCTGTGCTGTCTAGGTGATTGACAGCTTTGTCCTGTCTAGGTGAGTGACAGCTCTGCCTGTCTGGGTGATTGACAGCTCTGTGCTGTCTAGGTGATTGACAGCTCTGTGCTGTCTAGGTGATTGACAGCTCTGTGCTGTCTAGGTGATTGACAGCTTTGTCCTGTCTAGGTGAGTGACAGCTCTGCCTGTCTGGGTGATTGACAGCTCTGTGCTGTCTAGGTGATTGACAGCTCTGTGCTGTCTAGGTGATTGACAGCTCTGTCCTGTCTAGGTGAGTGACAGCTCTGCCTGTCTGGGTGATTGACAGCTCTGTGCTGTCTAGGTGATTGACAGCTCTGTGCTGTCTAGGTAGTTGACAGCTCTGTGCTGTCTAGGTGATTGACAGCTCTGTCCTGTCTAGGTGATTGACAGACTCTGTGCTGTCTAAGTGACTGACAGCTCTGTCCTGTCTAGGTGATTAATAGGCTCATTTGGATTGACCCTTACAGGAAGGGGAGAGGGTATGTCACCGTTCTTTATTACAAAGCCTCCTGCTACTCAGTCATCCCATGAGATTACTGGATCCAGGATTAAAGAGTTGTACACTAATGGCCTCCTGTTCAGGATGTCACATCTCCCAGGGCCAGAGACAGGTCTCAGGATCCACACTCCTCTGACCAGTAATTAGAATCCTGCTGCTTTGGTCAGTGATTTCATAGGTTGTTGGCTATGGGGATCCTCTAAGCCTATCAGTGTTTGAGTAGTTACCTAAGATTATGGTGGACCAGAACATCATATGGTCACCTTATTAATAACAACCACAGAGACCTGCCTTGCTGGTGTCTGGCTAGAGAATCTTCTCGTAAGCCTGCCTCTTAGTGATTATTTAGCCAGCAGTTCCCATTGGTCCTAAGCTCAGATCTCCTGCATCCTGGAAGATTAGGACTGCATCCTATAGACACTGCACTCAAGAGAGGCTCTATAGCCCAGGGAGAAGACGGCCCCAAAAGTGAGGGTTTCATTGTCCTGGTAGGTTCCAACCAGCCTTGCAAACACACCTGGGCCTCTCCTGCTGGAATGTGAGCCCGAGACCTGGCTTGTTCTTTAAATCTGTAGAGGCTGGTTCATTCACTTATTCATGAATAAATTAAACTCTCATTCACTTTTATTACTAATTTATAAGATTTGGGTTTTCAGCAACATATTGATGAAGACTTAGTTATAAGATGGATTCATTGCCAGTAGCCATAGTAATGGTGTAGATAGATAATAGATAGATAGATAGATAGATAAATATCTAGAGACAGATACATAGATAGACACATAGATAGATACAGATTATTAATACATAGATGACAGATAAATAATAATGATTGATTGACAGCTATTAATACATATATGGTAAACAATACTTGGACAGATAGATGATAGATTAAATAATAATGATTGATAATTGATAGATGGTAGATGCCAGATAGGCAGATAAATGGATAATGACATATGATTGATTGATGACAGAATAGATGCATGGATAGATAATGATAGAAGATTAATAGATAATACACAGATAATGACATATGATTAACAGATGGTCAATACAAGATATATAGATAGATGAGAGAGAGATGAGAGAGAGAGAGAGAGAGAGAAGGAGGGAGAGAGAGAGAGAGAGAGAGAGAGAGAGAGGAGAGAGAGAGAGAGAGAGAGAGAGAGAGAGAGAGAGAGAGAGAGAGAGAGAGAGAGAGAGAGAGAGAGAGAGAGAGAGAGAGAGAGAGACTCTCTAGACCTGGAAAACAAATCCTGACTTGGGACACCAACACAAAGCCACAGCCCCAGCCCTCTGACCAGAGGACTCTGTTCCCTGGGGAACACACAATGAGCCATTGCCAAACACTCCAAAGATTCATGGCTTCGAGCAACAGTCATGTGACTGTTGGTACCTCGGAGCCAGCTGGCCGATTCTGCTGGCCTCTCCCTTAGCCTGGCTCACTGGCTCCCTGTGGCGTCACCTCCCATGGGACAGCATGGCTTGTTCATGTAGAGGAGAAGTGTTCCAGGGGGAGGACGGAAGTGGGCTTGGAACAGGACAATGTCACCCGTGTTACCTTCCATCCATCAAAGCACACCACAAGGCCACCCATACTCTTCCTCCTAATGTGCGATATCATATCTCAAAGAAGTGCAGAGACACGGCGTGACCACAGCTGACTTTGCAAATGCCTCTCTCAGAGCCCTGTGTTTGTGATGTCAGCTTCTTCCTCGTGGCTCCCAGTGGACAGAATGCTGCCCCAGGGAAGGGATGCCCAGATCCTTGGGGGTTCTCAGAGCAGGGCCTCAGAGAGGGAAGGCGATGGGAGCTCTGAGCTTAACTGTTTCATGGTGAACCCAATGGATTCATGAACCTACACACTGCCCTTCCTATAGTATGAACCACATACCTGGAATATACAATGGGCCATCCCAACAAACTGATCACCTGCCTGTGGGGAGGCTGACTGGTCTTGGACAGGGACCAGGGATCATCACAAACTTATTCAGGTAAGAGATGGCTCCCATTGAAGCTCCTGGCAATTGACTGGTTTCTGCAAGTGTTTCGCTCCTCCATGACATTTAGAGACATAGGATCCCATGTCATCCCTGAAGCTTGAGTAGACAGACCTCTAATTCACAGTCCTGACTCTATCCTTGGGGACCTTTGTCATCCCAGCATCCCATCGGTGCTGTTTCACATATGAGGGACCCCATAGTGACAGAAATGGAGCAAGAAATTTGGGGCAGATGCTCTACCTTTCAAGACCTACCCACCAATACCAAAGATGTCATACAACCTCTTGAAGACCCAGGGTCCTGATCCAGGGCATGTGAAGGTGTCCTCCCCCCCCCAAAACTATCACTGGAGAAACTGCACGAGGTCCCAGCTCCTACTCAAGGAACCCATAGTGGCACACACTGAAGCCTGGGTAGGGGCTCACTGGCCGGCCAGAGCAGCAGGATAAGCAGTTTGCCTCCAGAAACTTGTGATCCTTGGGCTCCAGAAGGCCTTAAAGTTCCTGCGGCAGATGAGAGTCTCTATTGAGCCAGTGCTGAATTAAAATGGAAAAAAAAAATCTCAGACTTGGGGACCAGGGCAAAGCCACAGCCTTCTTGGCAGCTAACTAGCCCCTTTAGAGAGAGATCAATTGTTTCTGATGATCAGTCTTGATTGTGAGCCCTGATGATATTTAGAATGACCCAGAAGACACACCTCTGTATTGCCTGTGAGTGCATTTCCAGAGAGGAGAGGAGACATAGCCTAAATGAGGACAGCACCAACCCACGCGCTATGGTCTCCCACTGAATAGAAGGAGAAAGACAGCTGAGCACACCCACTGACCGGCATGGACCTCTCTCTGCTCCCTGACTGCAGATGCCATGTGACCAACTGTCTCAAACTCCTGCTACCAGGCCTTCCTGCCATGATGGCTGCACCTTCAAACTGTGATCCAAATGAACGCGCTCTCCCTTTGCATGCTTCTAATCAGATAGTTGCTCATGGTGACAAGAAACATAGCTAATACACCAGAGTGCATGTATTCATGGATCCCTAAGGTACATGGTACCAAATGAAACTGGTATCTCCTGGACCCAGGCCTTGGATGTGGTATGCAGTAGTCCTCACACGAGGTGATTAGAGGCTCGGCTGGGACCTGAAGACTGGAATGCATAGGTGGATCAATGGGAGACAGATGAGGCCTCCTACAGCTACATGGCCAGGAGGAGGCCACGGCCCTCATTCTTTAAGCAGCTTTAACTTCGGAGGAAACGGTCCAGAGTTTACCAGACCAAGAAAGTCTAGCGTTGAGCATCACCAGATGAGCCCTGCAGGGCCTGCTCAGCTGTTAAAACGGATCAATAAAGACTGCAGATGGGCCCCACGTCCCCCGCAGGGAGGAGAATTGCCTTTCCCAGCCGAGATGATCCTCTCAACCTGCTAGTGAGAGGCCTCCTTCTGGCTTCATTTGCCAGGAGTGAGCATAGCCAAGCCCTCAGACAGTCACACACTCCCATCGACCTTAGTAGGGCAGCTCAGGTCGCACAGGGCCTCGTCTATACTCAGTAATGGGGGTGGAGGTGACGCCTTCGTCTCAGGAGTGTCCCAAGCTGGTCCTTGGGAGGGGAGATGAAAACTCGTAGGTCAGGATGCTTCCAGACAGTCTCCAGCAAATTACCATGTACTGTGAGTGGAAAACCCTCTTCATCTCCTGGGTGAACATTTTCCCCCAATGGGACTTCCAGTTACTGTAGAAGGCATCATTAAGAGATAATACTGTGTATCAACTATAAAGAACTTTCTCATCATTTGAAGCACAGTTGTGGAAATGAGTGTGAACTTGCACAGCCATGGTCAAGATTAGGTTGTGAGGGGGTGATGGTGTAAGGCGGGGAGATAGTAATGGCTGAGGAGGTGATAGTCTGTGAGGATCGTGGGGATGGCAGATGATGTGGGATGACATGGCGGCATCCGTGGGCGATAATGGTGGCAGGTAGCGATCCTGTTAGCCATAGAGATGTCTGAAGGGTGGTGGTGGTGGTGGCGGCGGCGGCGGTGGTGACGATGGTGGTGTAACAGGGATGAAGATGGTAGCAGTTCAGGTGATGATGAGATGATTATGATGGCGGTGATGGTGATGGCGTTTATAGATGGTGATGATGGTGGTGATGGTGGTGGTGATAATACATGGAGATAATAATGATGAAGATGGTGTTGATGGCGTTTATAGATGGTGATGATGGTAGCAATGGTGGTGGTGATAATACATGGAGATAGTAATGATGATGATGGTGATGACAGTGATAGTGGTGATGGTGTTTATAGATGGTGATGATGGTGGTGATGGTGGTGGTGATAATATATGGAGATAGTAATGATGATGACGGTGATGGTGGTGATGGTGTTTATAGATGGTGATGGTAGTAATGGTGGTGGTGATAATACATGGAGATAGTAATGATGATGATCGTGGTGATGGTCTTTATAGATGGTGATGACGATAGCCATGGTAGTTAGTGGTGGTGGCGGTGACAATTCACGGAGACAGTACTGGTGATGGTGACAGTACTGATGGCCGCAATGATGACGGTGGTGATGGTGGTGATGAGCGTGACGCCGGCAGTGTCACAGAGCTGGTAACAGCCGCAGCGATGGCTGCTGGGAGGGAGATGGCAGCGGCAGGCAGATATTGCTTCTGTTTGCAATAACAGACACAATCGATGGTTCTCAGGTCACACCTAGCCTTTCAGTCAGTGCTGGGAGCTCCCACTGAGGCTCGTGCTTGTGTGGCAAGCCCTTTGTCAGCTCAGCCGTTTTCCTGGGCCCCACTGTCCCCATTTTGTAGGGCCCCACTTTGCCTTCTGCCATCAGATCTGCAAACAGCACACAACAGAGTGAGCCCATGCTACAGAGTGAGCCAGTCTGCGGGCTGAACCCAGGTCCTTGGTCACAGGGCAAGCCAAGGCCCGTAGCAAGGCTGGTAGTGATGGCAGTGCCTTGCATGCATCTAGAGGGTCACAGTGGGGGGTTCCTGGAGCTTGCAGCTGGCTCTGAAGTGAGGGAGCCCCCTGGGGTTGGGCTCTTAGCCTATGGAATCCAATATTAATCCCAGGAGGCTAGAGTCACAGCCGAACTGATGCTGGGTGCCCACTGGTGTTGGACAGAAATTGCATCTTGCAATGAAGCTGAAGTGGAGCATACCTACGTGACCACTCTGGTAGCCCCTGACCTGCGGAAAATGTCCTCAAGGAGAGCTAAGTTGGGATACGAGTCTGTCAAGCAAGGGCAACCTGTAGAACAGCATCTGCCACCTGCTCTGTGTGTGTGTGTGTGTGTGACACCTTCGCCCCTGCTCCTAGGCAGCTTTCAGGATAGTAAACCGACTTCCGTTCTCCCCAGGGGAGTTCAGGTCTGATGCCTGGGGCTGCCCTTGCCCAAGCACACACCACAAGCATCTGACTTCACTGCTGAACAAACAAGTGTCTGGGTCCCCCACGTCCCCACCCCTCACTGTGACCTCCTCACCCCCTCACTCTTAGCTACGAACATTCCTTAGAAGTTCGGTCTTTCCACAGGCAGCGGCTGGAGTGTTGCACGGGGGAGAGTCTGCACAGTTCCTTTCCCACAGTTCTGTGCAGGAGTCTGATGAGCTCTGGTTCAGCCCAGAGGTGGCTGCAGAGCTCTGGGACCCAGGTAGCTTGTTATTACTTTAAATAGGAGCAGGGCCCAGGGGTAGCCTTTTGTTTTTTTTCCTTGGGTGGCGATGGACATTCATTCTGACTTCTGTCACATACTTCCCCGTAACACACGGGAACACGGGTTGTTGGCCCCACGCACAAGACAGCTGCCAGCCCGCAGGAAGCCTCACGATGCCTCTCACTGCCTGCAGGGGGCTAACTCGATTCTCTAATGAAGTGCAAGTAATAACATCCCCGGCTCTGTTCCCATCAGCAACGATCCAGGATGCGGTGAGAGCGTCAGATTCAGCGTCCCCTGTTCCACTCAGCAGCATCTGTGGTCAGTGTACCCACGGTGTAAGAGTCCCCCCCCCCCAGGTTCCCTTTGAGGTCCCTGGCTGTCACAAGAGGTGTAGTGCGGACACCATTTCTGGACTGGAAATATATTAGTACGCAGTGTGTTCAGCTTAATGCAGTTCAAACCTCTTCTCTCGTCTCCATTACCCACATCCATAAACGAACCAAGGACTCGCAACCCAGAGTCCTGCCCTTCTCTGGATTTGGGGCTCTGGAAGAGGAAGTGGGTACAGCTTCCCCATCATAGCAGCAGGCTGAAGGAGGAGGCAAGGCCCCAACCGCAGCCCTAAAAATCCTCCTGGGCTCTGATGGGGAGTTAAACCCAGATGGTATCCCACATCTACATCAGAGAGTGACACTGAAGTGGCCTTAGTCGAGGTCAGAGGCAGAGGACAGCAACCTTCAACACCCATGTGTGATAGCCACTCCTAGCCAGAGGGAGGGAAACATCTGGAAGGCCATCTCCCTGCATTCTCGCTCAGAGACCCCAAGGAGGGAATGCAGCTCACTCCCACACACCCGCGCCCGTCGCTCCCTTCCTCCGGAAACGCTCTAACCCCTGGACTTGCTGCAGCCATGGAAGGCTATAAGCACAACTGCATAGGAATGCTTGGAGGGGCCTCAGGGACATCTGCTCATGGAGGTTACAGTAATCCTGAGATACAAGGTTTGGGGGACAGACTTCTGCCTGTCGTGTTCCGCATTCCCAGGGGGGCCAAGGATGACTTCAGTTTCTGTTTATCTGGAGACTGGCAGTTGCTCTGTGGAATGTGACTTCTAAGTGTCAAGGAGTGAGGTGGCCCAGGGAAACAAAGGGCTTGAGCGGATGACTGACAGGTACACATGGCCCTGATGCTGTTACCGGGAGCAGTGGCTACTTGGTGCACCGTGCCCTAGAGAGGTCAACCAAGGTGTCTGCGGCTCACCACTACAGCAAGGAGTAGCTCCGCTTTGTGTCTTCTAATACCCAATGGGCTCTGGGAAAGGACAAGTGGCAGCCTGCAGGAAGGTGAGGAGGATGGGGGGTGGGGTGGGGTGGGGGTGTTAGCTCGCCAAGTCACCAGCGCTCTTAGAAGGTCACCCACAGAGACAGACGGGAGTCTTTTCAGACAGAAGCCAGGAGGGGTCTTTGGTGACAAGCACCCCCGGAGAGGGCCCCTGAAGGGCAACTCACCCTGGGACCTACCTGACAGTTCACAGCCACAGCTTCATCTCCAGATCAAGGGCTGCCTGCAGCATGGGGCAGCTAAGTGTGTCAGTCCTCATCCTGTCTCCCCAGCAGGACATTTGCTCTGACTTCCTGTCTGGCTACCATCAGACTTAGCTGAGCCCCAGGAGGTTCCGGAACCCAGGCCTGAGCTCAGCGGGGTCCACAGCCTCCCACACCTCTTCCAGAGTCTTCCCTGTGCTCTTACACAGTAGAAAGTGAGCAGCAGAACCCAGGAGGCATGGGTTACTATGCTGATCCCCAAGTCCCCATGTCTGGCTCAGTACAGGATCGAGGTGTCCATCCCTGAACCCCAAAGCATCACCATGGCTTTGAACTCTTGCTCCCATCGGCTCCCACGTCCTCAAGAGCTCACCCTGAATCCTGAGTGTCCTTGCTGCCTCCTCGTTCTTTGGTCCCTCTCAGGAGTGTTTTTACGGTCTTGGCTCGCTTGGGTGTCTCCCAGCATGCTGGCTACAAAGTTCGTCTTCTTTCTTAAACCCCACGGAAATGCAGGAAGAGGCAGTGCCCTGCTGTGTTCAGAGTTTCCTGTGACCCCGCCGTCCCTGCTCTTTCCTCTCCCACCAGGGCATCACTAACCACCTTCTGAAGCCAAGGGGCAAACTCAGGGCTGATGGAACCCTGACAGGGCCCTGACGGCCTCCTTTAGTTGTGAAGGTCAGATGTTCCGACCAGGCTAGAAACCAAGATGCTGCTTCTTAGGGAAAGCAGGTGAAACACTACATGCTGCTTAGAGAGTTGGCTCAGGGAACCCCACTTTCTACTTCAGGCCAGCATCCATTCCAGTTGTTTTTACAAAGGCAAGCCCCCCCCAACATATCCCCTGCCCACTGGATCCCCTGACCCACCTTCCCATGACCAGAGCACACTCTGGCTGGGATTACAAATCTGCTGCTTTCTGAACTGGAGGGGTACAGCTATTCCTCACCACGCCCCAGCAGAGTCTTGGGGATCCATGTCTCACAGCCCTCCTCCCTCCTGCCCCTGACCATGGGTATCAGCACCAAGGCTCTCTGGAGTTTTGTCAAGTGTCACCCAGGAAGGCTGAGGGAGGTCAGAGCAGTGAAGTTCCGGGCAGGACTACCCCTGGACCCCATGTCTGCCTCACATAAGATTCTTTCTTCCCTACTTCCTTCTAGATCCTTCCAGGAGCTTCTTGTCTCCATCACAGGGCTGAGGCTTAGGACTGGTGAGGCACTCACATGTCCCCCAGGAATGGAAGGAGAGAGAGGCACGCATGGAAAGACTTCCACCTGGGCAGCTGCGTTCTCACTTCACGCTTTCCGCAGACTTGAGCTCCATGCTGGAGCACAAAAGCCCCGTCGAGCAGCGTCGGGGTGCCGAGCATGGCCTCTGCCTGGCTAGCACACTTCACTGACAGCTAACGCAGTGGCGTGTTAGCTTAGTCACCCAGACGGCGGCATCTCAAGCAGGATCTCGAGGAAGCAGAGGAAGAAGCTCCCATGCCCAATCCCCACGAGTCAATGCCACCTTACAGCGACAAAAATAAAATTGGAAGAATTTTCCTCAGTGGCAAGCGCAAGTCAAACCGACAATTATGCTTTATTAAGCCGGATCCGCTAATATTCTTATGTGCCCCACCCCGTCCCTACCCGCATTCCCACCCTGGGTGGGGGAAATGGACTCTGGCAGTTGGTCACTGCCTTTGGTGCATTTATCGGGGGCTCAGAGCAATGACTGACACACTCACAGCCTCATCCCTGGCAGAGGGGCCACAGGACAGCCTACTCCTCGGGGCTCTTCCCTCCATGAACCCTCACAGACCGTTCCCTCCCACCCACCATCCCGGGGAGGAGGTGGTAGACAGGCTATGTGTGGATCCGTTCGATCATTATGGACGTCTAATTTTCCTCCAGAGGCAGAGGAGACGGTAGGATTATAAAGTCACAAGCAAGCAGAAAGACAGGTGCAGTATAAGCACGGTGGCGTCATTCCTGGGGACAACTTCATCAGCCAAAAGCAAAGATGAACACGGATCAGGCTCCCATGCTCACACCCATGAGCAAAAACCAGGCTGTAAGCCTGCATGCATGTTGGGGGTGTTTGTCTTGCAGCGCAGTCACAAGAGGCAACCCCATACACTCTTCTCCCCACCCCCCCAAGTCAGCTCTGAGCCCTGGGACATAAAAGCTATGTCGGTGGGGCTAAGATCCTTGAGGAAAGTGAAGCTAGAGACACAGGCATGCATGCGGCAACAGCTTCCCAGCCCCTCGCCCCAGAAGTGCCTACCAGCTAGGGGCAGGACTGTGCAAGCTGTGTGGGCTCAACGGCAGCCCGAGAGTCACCAGCAGAGAAAGTGGGGCAGGCTGAGTTATGTGAGTCTGGGCTCCTCCAAACGCTCTGCCGTGTCCCTGGGAAGGAGGAACACAATAGCAACCCTTGCTAGTGTTACTATGTATCATGTAACAACAATAAGCCATGTATGGAGCCCTTCCTCGCTCAGCCCTGGGACTCCACGGGGCACCTATCCAACAATGGCTATCTGAATTCACCCTGCCGGCAGGTGAAACTCAGCCCACAGGCATCAAGAGGCTGGTGACTTAGCTGCCCACTGGCCCAGATTGAAACCTTTGGGGTAGATGTCACTGTTCCTACTTCTCAAGGCAGGGACTGAACATTGAGAACTTTGTCCCAAGGACTGTAGACAGAGAATGACCCTACACCCAGCCAAAGTCTCTTACAGGCGCTGAGCACCCCACTCAGCTCCTGCCTCCACCTGGAAGAGACCACAGCGGTGACAACACGTCGTCACCCATCTTGGGCACCTTCTAGAGCCCAGACCCACACTGTGCAGAAAGCTCCGTCAGAATCCCGCCCAAACATCAGAAGTCCCTGCCCGCCACCACATCTACAGGGCAGATCCAAAGAGAAACTCCTACCAGACACACAATGCCAGCCTCGGGCCTCCCTCTTCCCACTGCCGGACAGGGAGATTCCGGTTACACCAAGAAAGGACCCGAGGGGTCACCTCTAGCCACATCCCACCCCGGGCGCCTGGAGCAGGCTGGCAGTTTAAACTACCCAGCATTAGCACCCCTCCCAGCGGGCATAGCTTGCTTCAGGCACATCCAAGTCATATCCCATGAGTCACATGGCACAAAGACAGCTATGGATGAATGCCGCCCAACACTAAATTATAAACTCATTCAAAGCATTAACTAAGTGTTGTTTAATTTTGTTTGTAACTCAACTATGTGGTTCTTGAGTGCACACTTGGTGAAGGGCATCCATGACATAGTGTCAAAGGTTGAACACGGGCCAGCAAGATGGTTCAGCATGTTAACGTGCTTGCTACACAAGCCCGGTGAACTGAGTTTGATCCTCACATACAGGAGAAAGGGGAGAATCAACTCGACAAGGGTTCTCTGACCACCACACGTATGCTGTGACATGTGCATCCCAACACACATACACACACACACACACACACACACACACACACACAAAACACACACACAAATCATGCATACACATGCTCAATAGCAACATGTAGTAATGATTTTAAAAGTTGATATGCCTCGGGGGCTGGAGAGGTGGCTCAGAGGTTAAGAGCACTGGCTGTTCTTGCAGAGGTCCTGAATTCAATTCCCAGCAACCATATGGTGGCTCACAACCATCTATAATGAGATCTGGTGCCCTCTTCTGGCCTGCAGGCAGACATGGAGGAAGAACACTGTATACATAATAAATAAATAAATAAATAAATAAATCTTCAGAAAAAACCTAACCATTAAAAAAAAAAAGTTGATATGCCTCTTACAATCCTGGGCGGCGAGGCCAGTCTATTTCCGATGATTCCAGATGACAGAAGCTGAGAAACAGCACAGCTTGGTGTTATTCCAGGAAAATGACTCAGCCGGCCTGCTTTTCACAGCCCAGGCAGGGTCCTTGTACACCGTGGCCTTTGTGGAATCAATGGCAGGGAATATTAGCTGTCACTTCCCATCTGACTGAGCAGCAGGGGCACCACGTGTGCCCCGATGGGTCCCCGTTTGTCAGCTTAACACACCATAAAAAAATAAAACAGTGACATTCTGCCCTCAGGGTGTGTCACCCCATGCTGAGGGCAGGGTTCGGGGTCCAGGAAGGACACTGGGTGACTGTAGGCACCACGGCAGGAGTGGTGTGTGCCTCTCTAATCTGGCCCTTGGTACCTCCAGTGGGATCCCTCTGCGTGGTCCCCAGATCACTCAGGCTCTCTTCTGTGAGCACGCTGGTCCTGGAGCTAGGACTGAGGGACCATGAGTCTAGGACCCGGTTGTAGTGACAGTGGGGGGGGGGGAGTAAGAGAGGGGGTACTGCCCAGCGTATCACAGAACCTACAGCTTGACTATTGAATAAATTAACTCAGCCGTCAGCTGACTGACCGTCCCAGCCTCCTGGATAGGGTGCCAAATGTCTGCTTGCTGGCCTGGGCGGGGCACGCCCATGATCAGCAGGGGCCAGGTGCCTGTCCACCCCGGACACCCCATCATCACTGTGAGACACGCAAGGCAGCTGCTCCCCCGCCTGACCTCCACCTACTCATCCTTCTCACCTCCCAGGGGCCCCAACTCCAGGTCCCGTCTCAGGCTTCTGGAGATGAGTTGTTTCCAGCCGTGTCTGCATCCAGATGCTCATTGATTTTAGCCTTTGTTGTGCTAGCTGCCTGTCACAACCGGTTATTGCGGGTGATGGAGAGGCGCTCACCCTGCACTAACCTGCCTCTTAAAAGCTGCCCGTGGCGTATGTGGCACACGGCCAATGGCTCAGAGAGGCCTGTGAGCATGAGAGGCTGTGTGAGCATGAGAGGCTGTGTGAGCATGAGAGGCTGTGTGAGCATGAGAGGCTGTGTGAGCATGAGAGGCTGTGTGAGCATGAGAGGCTGTCTCTTCACTCCCCAGGGGGTAGGTGGGCTGTGGACCCAACACGATTGGGTCTAGCTAGACACCTGTTCCCCACATGTCCTGGTGTGGCAGTCCAGAACTCACTACAGCTTTTGAGGCCTTGTCCAGCCCAGCACCCCCAGCATGAAACTGGTGAGCAGATTTTCTGTGGCCCCCGCCTCCCTAGCTGTTCTAGAGGCTTCCGTGGTTGAGTTTTATGATGAGGTGATGGAAGGAGACTGTGGTCTTCCTGAGCTCCCCGCCCTGGTCGGTACAGGTGTTGGCTGCCCTCCTCGGGTTCGCCTCTGTTCCATCCACTCCTCACTTCTGACTGTGCACCCCAGGACTATCCAGAGAAGCCGACCAGTGTGGGAGTGTTCATGATGTATGTAATCTGCCTGAGGAGCTGGCTCACAGGGTTGTCGGGCATCCAAGTATGAATTTGGGGTAACAAGCCCCAGGCTGGAAACACTCAGGAGTGGAGGCTGCAGATGTCATCTGGAGGCAGAGTCTCCTCCCTGGAGACCTGTCTGGCCCTCCTCATCTTCCCCTCACAGGTCAGGCCCACCTATCATAGACAGCGGCTCACTCAAAGCCCCCTGGCCAGAAGTTAAGCGTATCTGCGGACCATCCTGTCTCCACAGCAGGAGACAAGTGTGTGCAAACAAATATCTGGACACTGTGGTGGTCCAACCATGGGAGCAGCCAACCGTTTGCAATGCCAAGGTCCTATCCTCACGAGTGGGCCTCCAGACAAGCATTCACCACAGGTTTCGCTGAACAAAGGTGTCCTGTGGAGCCCTCGCTATGGGGATGCCTCTGGACTGGGACCTCCTCCAGGGGCAGCTGAGTGACTGACGGGGTGCGGAGCTGGGAACTAGGGTGCTCGGTGACCTGAGGAAGGGGATCCAGACTCAGGCTTGGCTGTGGCTACGACTGGCGATCGCATGGGGCTGTGGTGTCTCATCCCACCCTGTAGGTGAGGAGGCTGGGGCCAGCGGAAGCGCTCTGCAGGCTGAAGTTGCCCTGCTACTGGGCAGAGACGTTAAGGTGACAGAGACCCAGCTGGAGATCCTGGGGCGTCTGGAGCGGCATCAACGCCACGCTCCACTTCTTACCCAGCCTGGCTCACCATGTTTGTTGATGAAGGAATGGAAACTCAGAGAGGCTCACCAGTCCAGGAAGCCCCCGAGCTTAGTTGCGTGGGCACCCTCACGCGTGGGCACCCTGGCTGTCTACGCCCACGCCTAACGCTGCAGCACCAGCACAGCACAAGATCTACAACTTCAGAGATCAGGTTGTGCCCAGACAGGGCCATCTGACAAATGCCCTCAATCTGGAGTCTCTGTGACCCCAAGGGCCGGGGAGGGGTGGTGTCCACTCATCTGTCCACATTCCTACCTGAGAGAGGGAGTCATGGGGGATGGAGGTTGCTTTACAACAGGGGACCTCGGGGCCCAGGCCGCCCCTGCCCACAGCCCTGCAGTCCAGCTTTCCCATCTGCTTCTGCATGGTCGGTCAAGTCCACCTTGGTCCCACTCCTACCCCACTCCCCACCCCTGCCCCCGCCCAGAACTATGTGACTAACGTGTTCCACACCAAGAGGCGAATACGGTCCTGGCCGCCCTCCCTAGAGAGAAGGGAGAAACGA